TACATTTTTACAACCTTAAATGCCACCGGGAGGGACGATGCAAAAACAAGAAGCAATTGAAATGTCTGAATTATGTTTTGGCTGAAGCAGTGAATTATGTGTAGGTGGTCGCAGAGTCAGACAAATCGAAAGATGATACATTTATGAGCCAGAATTAAATACCAATTGGAGTTCGGTACAGGCGAGCTTTTATGCTGGTGATTTCGTAAAATTTAAAGAGCATTTGCATTCCAGCAACCCCAACATTTCATACCATTTGCAGTGCGGTAAGTAGCCACACATTACAACCACATAAACATCCACAAAAAAAAGCGCAGCCTTAAGTATAATGCATGCCACGAGCATAATGATGCAGCAGACACGCTGACTGCGAAAATTATTACATACGAAGGGAATTCTGCATGAACATGACGCGCGATGCCACCATAAACCGGGCGATAACCCGCTCGATCCATGACCCAGTCGAGGCGGAGTAGACGGAGCCCGAAATATCATATGCAAAAATGGGGCGGCTGTTGGCGCGGGGTGGCTGCTTAATGGCTGTTTGGCTCGCGGCGTGCATGGCATGGCCCGTGGATCCACACTGGGCGAAGGCAGGGGGCGGCTGCCCATCCTAATGGCAACTGGCAACTGGCATCAACCTGCAAAATGTATAACGACAGCATTAAGCTCGTGCCAGCAGCCGAAAAATGTTTTTACGAATCGGCGATTGCCGATCGGGTAGGAGTGGATGGAACGGGCGAATGTGGCACAACGGTACACTTCGCGCAGGTTCAGTTGGGTTCAGCAAACGGAATACGCTCGATCTGATTTGTCTCATCGTTCCGCCTGCCAGAATCAAAAGGGGAGGCTCAGACACAGAGACTTTCTACCCTGGAAATATGTACTTGGTTGGGTGGATCGGTTTGAGTTTCGGGTGGGTAACACTTGGCTAATACGATCTTCGAATAAGTTTCTTTCTCTTCTTTATTTTATGAATATTCAATGGATTTTTCATTGAAGTTCTTCTTAATTTCCCAGACAGCCCCCTGGTCGATCACACTTATACGTTGCATTCTGCACGTTTTACCGTGTAATACAATTTGAATATGGAACTGGCATGTTCCCCTGGCCCTCTGCTGTTCTCCGGCTGACAACCTGTTCCACTTCTAAGCAGTCCTGCTGCTGCGCTTTGTTTTACTTTGCATTCAAAATCACAGCCAGGTGCGGCTCAGTCGGGAAGAAAGGATCTCTGGTTGCATTCAAGCGAATGCGGCAGATGCCGAGGCGCAATTCCAATTAGGGCTCAACACTCGGCATGCATTATCCTGCGGCACGTTGATTTATAGGCCACCAAAACGAACAAGCGGCGCACGTTTCATTCTTTTCAATTACTCAGCGCTCCAGCGTCGGCTGCAGGGGAGCTCATCCACCTCCACCTCTGGATCTCTGCTGCAGCTCCCGTTTCGCCTGTCATGTTTCCTTTTTCCTTTTTCCATTCTATTTATTTATTCAAATGCAGCGTGTATCGAGTGGCTGCACTAATGTACAAAATCCTGCAATCCCTTGAAACATCTGCGTGGTGCGATTGAAGAGGGATTTTGGGTTTGACGTACTCGTAGGTGGATAAGTGTGCCGACGTCAGTGCGTTGGTCCTTGAAAGCGATCTATGAGAGAGCAGGGATCGAGGCACTTCCCTTATTGTAAGAAATTTAATGAAATAAAATACACATATCCACGTGCCAGAATTCCTCTTTTTTTCTCCACTTCGCCCAATCTCTTTAACCCAATTGCAAGCTGAAATCTCTCTTTGGACCTCCCACGGGACTCTATAAAATAAAACTTTATTCCGTCTGCATTCCAGCCGCCTACCAACAGCCAAGAGCCAACAGCGACAAGTCGCATTTTCACCTACAACCCATCAAATTGATGGACATGATTAGAGTCTTTGCCAGAGAGAGAAAATGAAAGAGGAAAGTGCGACCTTTGGCGCCCCAGACTCTGACTGACTGGCAGACTGGAGAATGACAGACCGATCCCCGAAATGAGCAGATGCACGCGGCCAGGGCTTGAGGGATAATTGATGAGCTTTTAGCATTTAAGCAACGAAAACATAAGAGGTTTCTCTCTCTCTCTCTGAACTAACGCACTTCAATGGAGAGATGGTGATGGAGGTGGCGGGTGCAAAGGTGCTAAAGGCGAGACGAGAGGCCAGGCAAAATGATTAATCATTTGGCAGGTGGCTTAGTCTCGGGGCAACATAAAAGCGAGAACGGTACTCGACAAAAGGGTTCAACACAGCCGAAAAATCAACGTTTCGGCCACGGCCTTTAACAAGAAACTATTTAACTTCGCTTCAACGGTATACATTTTTGGTTAAACTGTCAAGTGGACGACGGAGTGGAGGAGAGAGCGAGCGAGCGAGCGAGCGACTGGCACAAAGGATCCAGCAAAGGATTACCGACTCTTATTTGGCCTGGCAGTGCCACACCTACGCACGGGTCTGTCCGCTCTAAAGGTGCGTTTAGGGCTGAGTTTGAGTATCTGTGAGTGTGGGCGTGGCCCAGCCTTACCTGGGCTGGCCGCTGTTGGCATCATTATATAATTTGACGAAAGCAGATCTCGGGCCACAGTTTACGGGGCGAAATCAAAGCCACAGGCACAGTGGGAGTTTCTCGCAGAAAAGTGAACCAAATAGCAAATAGATTCAAACATGATTTCAACACAATCCGCCCCACTGTATACGCTGCCAGCGGTAATGACAGGTTAAATATCTTTTCGGAACTTTGCAGCTTGGCGGCCCGACCTTATTATTATGATTCCTATTATTGATCCAAGATTTATGGCAATTAATAATAGGTATAAGACGCAGTCGGAATGGTGGCCACTTCCGCTCCCAATTAATTTATAAAGGGAGAGAGTTTCCACTACAAAAATTATGACAAACTATTTGTAAGCCAGATTTATGCTGACATTTTCTGGGACCACCTAGCGGCCCAGCGAGTCGATGATGCAATCAAGACGGAGAGAGAGAGAGAGAGAGCGAGAGCGAGAGCGAGGGCACCTTGCCAAAATCCTGATCCCCACTCGGGCAGCTGGCCCGTGTTTAACCTCATCTCAACTCATCTCATCTCTTAGGATTTGTCAGCTGTCTGTGAGCCCGCTTTTGTTTGGGTTCCGTTCCCTTTTCTTCCTTTTTTTGCGAATAATAGACAGGATCGAATAGAGAGATAGAAATCGTTATCCTAGGCACAGGTTCGTTTTCGCCTGACTTCTGCCGCTGAACAATGAGAGGAAAACGAAGAAACATGTTCCTCACCTGTCCTTGTGGATTTTTTGGCAATGTCTTTTGTATGAAGAGATCATGGCCTCAGGTATTGGCATGTGCTGGTGTCGAGCAGACTGTATTTAAGGATGGAAATATCTTAATTTATAGTACTAGAACTGGCTTGCCCGAGGGAACAGCAATCAGCCGCCATCGTGCAGGAAGATTAGTGAAAGGATAACCGAAATTATCAACCGCAAACTATCTTATCTGCGCCCATATTCACAGCCACAGCCAGACACTTGTGTTGCACTCTCTGGTAAATACTTGCTTGCAGACTAAACAAATATTAGCTCGAGCGCAGGGAAGAGCAAGCGTTAGATAAATTGAGAGTCTCGTTTGGACACGCACACGTCTGGCACCTGAATTCCCATCGTGTTTGCCCAGATATCCAAGGTGATCGTGATTTTCGATGACATGAGCATATTTACCACCAAAATGGGTTATTTGCTCGCACATATTTGATTGGGGTAAGGCTGTTGGGCAGGTGCTAAACGATAAGATGTGTCCAGACATGGCCACAGAGTTTGTAGCCAGAGTCTTGGCTCATGTCTAATGTGTAGCCGCTTGACAACATCGTTAGAAAGCCATTCAATTTGGTTTAGCATTGTCTCGTACACTCCCTTTGTCCCTTGCCACAAATGAAAACCCTGAGCATCTCGCTCCCGTGGATTTTGCGCAGTTTCTGCTTTCTAATGGAACACCGTAGGTGGCGTATTAGCGTCCGCCTCCTGATGCTGAGGATCAGGTGTGTCTGCTGCCACATCTGGCTGCAACAGCTGCTCGAGCTGTGAGTGAGTGCTCTAAGATAGTTTTGCTACAGACAGACATCGGCAGAACATCTTCATTATAGCAGAGCATTTGGCTCGATAATCATTTGCATCCATCCTCCTGCCACTCCTCTATTGTACGCAAATCTGCACCAAATTTATGCAAATTGAAATTCCTTAGCAACACCTGGACACAGCTACACACACACACACACAGATGAGCATTGTTTCAATGATGAATGTGCTGCTGTGGGATTGTGCCACAAACCCTGGTACAGTGCCAGACATCTTGGCGCGCACAAAACTGTAGCAAGACACAAACACTCAGACACCACACACATGGACCATGGCCCATGCCCAAACCCCTTGCAAGACCAAGTGGCAAGGTGTCAGTTCTGGGAAATCTGCTCAGCGGGCAAACAATGCTCGCACAGCGGGAGCCCCCGTACCAGTGCCAGCCCCTGGCATTGGCAACGGCCAGAAGGCAGGAAAATTGTTATGGCCATTGCGGCTCCTTGGGTGACAATGACAATGGCTGTGGCCATGACCATGGCATCCAGGCAGCCCATAAAGAAGCGCTGTGCAGACAACATTATTGTCATCGCGCGAAAGTAGTCCAGTGGGCTGTGGGAGAATCCTCCTAGCAGCGCTCCAATTTACCACAAGCCTTCCCATAAGCAATTTGCATATGCAGGCGGTTGGGCTTGGGCACAAATCTCCTTCGAAATCACTCGCTGCTGGTTTGCACTTTGCATGGACTCTCTGCCTTTATTTATTTAGTACATTTTCATGATTTTGCATGTTCCCACTTTTTTTCTTGCTTCTTGCAGTGTTGGGTAACAACCTTTTATCGATGTGCCTTAACCTGTTTTCGCACTTGTTATTCTTTCAGCACGAGGAACAATGCCAATCCGAGTGGGAGAGTTCTGGGAACGGAAACGGAATGCTGTAAATATAAATTAAGAGTGGAAAAAAAACAACAATCATGCTGTAGGTGTGTGTGTGGGTGTCCCATCTATTGTCCCATTTGGCAGAGTGTCAACCTACTTCCGTCAGTGCTGAGTACAATTTCTGTGTAAAATGATCCCCCCCTGCAGGTGTTCCCTTTAATTGCCGACTAAAAATACTAATAATTGAAACATTTCGCTTGCCTGTTGGCAGCATTTCCATAAGCCAAACAGATCGCTTCCTGCGGATCGGGCCAAACATTTTCTAACAAAAATGCCCACACGCCCACTTAAGTGAGGCTTCGGAGAAAAACCAGTAGCAAAAGCTGGCAAATGGCTGAGAGGCTGCTGCTGCTGCTGCAGCAATCAAAGCCATCGCCGGCAAACAAAGTCCACGTCGTCATCATCATCATCATCGTCATCGTCATCGTAAAACGTTGCCATGGCCAAGATTGATCATTGGGCCTGGCCTGGCCTGGCCCAGCGCAGACGGAGCGAGCCTCTTCTCATCCATTTTTTTTGTTGGTTTCGTTTCGTTTGGTTCGGCTTGCCCAATCAGCCACACCCACAGCCAAGATGTGCAACGCTCATATTAAAATGGCTTAAAAAGGCAGAGCCAGCGCCGAAAGTGGCAACACACAAGAGCCAGCAGGCAGAGCCTCGCTGATCTCTAAGATGCCTCGCTTCCGTTCCAGCTGCAAGGTGTGTGGCAGCCCAAACAGTAGCCTGCCACTGCCATCGAAGCACAACAATTGGCAATTTCAGTTGCTGCTGCTGCTCCCCGAAAAACGCAGCTCCAACAGGTACGCAGAGCAAAGAGCAGTAACAGTGGAGACTGCCTTGAACAAACACACCAACCGACGAGGAGGGGGAGGGGGAGACACAGTAAAACTTTCTACGACTGCGACACGCTGGGATCTCTATGAATGGCTGAAAGGAGAGGCAGAGAGACAGTGCATAAAGCTGGTGGTGCTACATCATCGTCAAACCCGTCGAGTTGCGACTTCGATTTCCTGTGCGCTGCATTTGACGTCTCGCAGGTCACTTGCCACAAGAAACGCTGGGGCCCTGACTGTGGCTGTGGCAGCATTCGTAATTGCTCTGAAAGGAAATTTCCATATGATAATATTTATTCGCTGGAATATGCCAGCCTCCAACTCACCGACTCCACGCAGCTCTCGTCCGCTGTTGCTGTTGCTCTTGCTGTTTTTCCTGTCTATTTGACACTGCGCAGGCGGCGAGGATGCTCTGGCTGTGTCTCTGGCCCAGATGTGTGGGTGGTCGCTTGAATGGCCTGGCCTGACTGCCTCGCTGCCAGCCCCGACTGTGGCTCTGGCCCCTGCGACTGACTGTCTGTTTCGTGTTCGCAGTTTTATTTCCATTTTCCATCTTGCCATTGCACACTCAGTCGATCACAAAGGCCAATGCTTCCACTTCTTCATCGATTTGAGAGTTTTATTATCTGGTTGGCATTTTAGTTGAATTGTTAGCTTAGTTTATGCGGCGGCCTGCTCTGCTCCTTGCAAATGGCAGGCGGGGGGAGTCGCCTGTGTGCCATGTGTGGATTATGCAAGTGCGGCTGGAAATCTGCATTTTCAACTGACTATTGGGTGGCATATTACACGATGCGAGTGCCACCAGGGAGGCGCATCTCTGCAGCAATGGCCGAACATCAAATTGTTGTGGGAGTGCAATTTCCTTAAAGATTTATCCAAAAAAGAGCAAATCAGATGTTGCCAAGTGTTGCAAAATGATCCTCATATCGATTACTTTTTATAGAAATAAATTATTTCCACCGCTGGGTATACATTTCAGGCATAAATTATAACATCATTTTTAAACATAGTTTTTAAATTATTATTTTTGCTAATTTCACAACAATTAATCTACACTCTATGTGCTCATATTTGCGCTCACAATTGCGCTGGTCCATTATAGTGTTGTGAAATCGCCACTTAATTGCTGGCTGGCCGAATTTTGTTTATAATTTCTTTTGTGCGAATTAAATAGAATTGAAATTGTTGTAAGCAGCTTGCACCTTGCATTTGTGGCACCCAAGCGACACACCCGCAGCAGCAGCAGCAGCAGGCACCCCTATGGGCAGTAGGCGTAGGGTAGGAACTAACAAACTAAAAAAATAAACAGGTAATTAGGTCAACGCCTCCGCCACCGTCGACTGTCGCCGGCACGCGTAATGAACCTGTTCGGGAGCAAAGGCACGACATAAGCAGAGACAAAGACAAAGACAAAGACAAAGCCGTCGCTGTCGCTGTAGCCGTCGCCGTCGCTAAGCACCTTGACTAGAATTTCTAATAAATTTCTAGCCAGGTTACAGACACGTCAAAACAACACGCGCCTGCCTGGCTTCTGCTCCTGGGCTGTGCGGCGTTTAAGTATGCGCACCACAGCACCCTCATACTCAGGCGACGCGACTGTCTTGGCCACGACATGCTAGGCTGGGCATGATCTTTCGGGCCAGAAGTTCAGTGGTGCACGGAAATGTGCGGGACAGACGACAGGCGACAGTCGCGCGTCGCTTTTTAATATCCGCTCACCCCCGGTCGTTGGTCGGTGTCTGGGTGGATATCCTAGGACTGGGCATTCCGTCAGACAGCCAGCCCTTCCCCATTTGAATAATTAGTTGCTCGTGCCAGGCTCACTTGTGCATTCCTGTGCACTTTGCATAACGTGTCCTTCTCCTGTTGCCGGGTGTGGCAGGTTCGGTTAGCTGGTCAGTGGAGAGGAACAAGTGCTAGGTCAGGGCAGGGCGCTGGCCAGTGGGCCGTATGAAGATATGCGGTCGGCCAGGGGGTGGAAGCACTCGACCGCTAAGGATCATGCTGGCATATGTCTCGTGCCAAGAACTAGCACCTGGATGGGACCTCAGATAGATCGCAAGAACTCATTAATATAGAAAATGTTTTTGTCTTTGCAGATTCGAAGACAACGAGGGACGACTTCGTGCAATTGGTAACTGGAACTAAATCCTTTGGTTTTCCATTAAAAATTAAACAAATTTCTTGCTAGATTCTGCAGCATGTCGGGGCGCATCGTCGGAGTTCCTCAGGGATTGTCAAGCAGATCGCACAATGCTCAAGAGCCTTCCCTGGCGTTGTGCTTCCAGCGGAAGAGCATTATGATACAACTAATGAAACACATGGCCTACGAGGGCAGACAGGGACAGAGCTTCAGTTTCGAGGGCTGCGAGGACCTGCTGGACACCTTTCTACGTGCACTGGCCACATACATGGCGAGTGCCTTGAAGGGAATCATAGAATACTGCGAGCACCGCACCGGCTATGATCTGCACGGCGATATGCGCTTTGTGTTGAGTAACGATTTGAAAGCGAAGATGGAACTGCTCGACAAGAGGGATCGGGAGGACCACTGCTTGTCGGATGAAGAAGATAACTTCAAGCGGCAGAAGCCCGCCTCGGACTTGGGAATGGGCATGGCCAGGCGCCTGGAGACGACCAATAACACGGCACTGAATGCCATTGGACCAAGGAATCGAGAGGTTCCACTGGCAGCAGCCCAGTCCATGCTGCCGGCAGCCAAACGCTGGAAGTACATCTGCGTTACCGATGTGATTGGGTTCCTAAACCATGACAAGCGCTATGCTCACACGAAAATGCTCAGTGCTGCAAACTCCAAGTATGATTACTGAGGCGAACTCCGTTCCAGTTTCATTTGCAGTTCAATGAACTTCCTCTTCGAATAAATCTCAGGCAAAGCCCAAGGAAACAGGTGGTGGTGTGTCCTTTTGTTGCCTCTGCTCTGCGCATTTCAATGGGGAATCCAGCTCAATGGAAATCCACGATTCCCTCTGCATGCACTTTGAACTTTTGTGCTGCAGACGACAAAGCGGAGTACTCAAAGGAATTTCCGGCGGGACAGGAAGCATATGCGCATTGCGCATGCGCCGCAGTGCGAGCGCGGTCTTTCGGTCTTTGGATAGGAAACGTGATGCTATCAGTGCGGCTCATTATGCTAAGTGCTGGCAATAAAATCAAAGCGCACGAGGGCGACACATCTCATCGAACTTCAATTGAAGCCGTGCGCCAGCGCAATCGGAAGGTCTGGCCCCGCTCACGTACCAGACCGCGGCATGTCGGAGGATCGTGCTAAGAAGTCTTTACCATTCGATGTCTGGTAATTGTGGGCACTACGAATGGGTTGGAGTGATTAAAAATGCATTGAGACTTGGCAGCCCAAGGAATATTTAAACAGAACACTAATTTCGGGTTCGAATTTGATCGGAAGGAGGTGCCATCGCCATCTACAGGTATGAGTATCTCTTTATTGCTCTAACTGCAAGCAGAAAACTGTACTCCACTCCACTCCACTCCACAGATAACTGTTAGCTGGGAGTGCCTCCTAATGTTTGAACAAATTTCAAGTGAGTCCCACCTGTCGGAGGCCGCAAAGCTATTCAGCCACCCGTATCCCTATGCCTATGCCCTGGCCAGTTGCAACATTAACTCAGGCATGGGTATCCCTTTTTCAAGGACTCGGGGCAACAGCTGCCGGCTGCAGGAAAATATCCAGCGAGTGCGCCGTCAGGCGTAAACTTGACAGGTACTCCAGGAGGTAGCAGGAAAAGTTCTACCCTAAACAGTCCTGCAAACCACCCCCAGAGCTAACAGTGGCCACTCGAGTGTGGATCAGTTTTCCAGCCCGGAAGGAGGAAGCAGGCGACTAGCCACCTATGCAAGGTGTATTTGAACAGAGGAACAGCCCTGGGACTGGGAGGGAGGCGAATTCCAGCACATGCAAAAGCCACAGCGATCCGTTAGGGGTTCCTGCATGAGTATTAACATCGTATTTGTATAGCAGGAACACACAAAGAGTTGCTGTTGTGCGGCTGAGCCAGAGGCTTGTCGTCTGTGGCACCTTTTCTTTTCTTTTTTTGCATAACGTTCCGCTCTTTGCTATCCGGATACACATGTGTCCCGTCATCATTGTATTTAAAATACGAGCCACTGCTCCTCTTCACTGCGGCGGCAGCTGTGCCAATACACAGCCCCTGCCAGCCATGTCCTCTCGTTGTTTGCTCGCTTAACAGCTCGAAGCAACGGAATTGATTGGAGCTGCCCGCTGATAAGGTGCCCATGGTGAAGTCTTGGCTTGCTATTATTTATTTACATATTTATGAACATGTCATCGAGTGCGGTGGCCCTTATTTGTCTACTCATTTAAGTAACCCCAATTGCCGAGGCTTTACACGTGTCCCAGGCATAGGATTAATTCTTATGTGGAGTTAACTATTTTTGTGCTCCATATTGCGCATTCCATATGCAAGTTGGAGTTATCTTTCATGGCTGTAAAAATATTTAATGGTTGCTAGACGTGTAATAACTTGGATTTGCTTGCAGCAGACAATTCGCGCATTGTTTTCAGACTCTTGCAACATTTTCCAGCATTTAAAATGACTCCAAAATATACAGCGATGATGGACAGAACACAGTTAGATCATGGAGCTGATGCTGATGAATTGTGTGTGTGTTTGGGTATATGAAATTGAATTGAGTTGCTTGCTGGCTCCGTTTCTAATCCGCAACAGATGCTGCCAGCTTGGTGTGTGGACCACACCAGTGTGCCTCCACTCCACACCCCTCCGCTGGTGAGCACTCACAAAAGAAGCAATAAAAACACATGGACACGTAACGATTGGTGCCGCCACAGACTGCTGCGTGGCGCATTAGAGTTGGAAGCGAGCCCAGGGTACAGACAATTTATGACTTTATTAACTCCAAAACGCAACCAGGCGGACAACAAAGTGTTAAGCCAGCCAGTCCGAGCCTTGCTCGGCGAAGACCAAACCAAGTTGCGACGCGACGCGACGCGACGCGTCGAGGCGATGAAGTTGTGTAAATGAAATTAATCTTCAATAGACACAGGGCAATAAACGAAGCTCGGCAGCAGCATCCCCAGCAGCAGTCTTGTGGCCCAGCTCTGCCATTAGTCATTAAACAATTTTCAACTGAAGCAGCCGCTTCCATCTTCATGCTTCAAGCTGTAACTCCATATGCAACTCCTGCTCCTGCTGCTGCGTATTTTGTCAGGTGTCATAAAAAACGAATTTATTGCGCATGCGCGGCCGGACTCTTCGACACACAAGACTTCAGCATTTTGTTACAGATTTTCATTTTTATTATTTAACTTTGTCGATCCAAGCACATAAATCAAGATGCGTGCGGCACTGAGGTGACAGCACTTTAGGGCACACAACAGACATCAGCAGCGACAATATATTCGAGTGGAGTTTGCAGGTTGCTGGAATTTTGAATATAAATGGAGCACGGTACAGAGCTGCAGGAAAGCTTTTAATTCAGCAGTTTGCATGGTCTAAAAGTATAGAATAAATTCCCAAAAATAACATTTGCAATGCACTTTCATCTGCAGTCGATAGCCAACAAATTGCCTCATTTAGAGGCAGTAATTTGGAACAAAACAAGTAACCAAAAAGTCATAGAAATACCTACAATTATGAGCTCTAGAACTAGCTCAAGCTGTGGGTTTGCATTCAAAGCAGTTGTCCTTAGAGCCATTTCTGCTTGCACTTCTACATGCAAAAAATGAATCCGTTTAAGGCCCAACATCCTCTCAAACACTGTGCGCATGTCTTTCCCACCAACTAAGTCCGCAAACTCTCTGAATTTTGCAGAAAAGGGAACAAGAATCGTTCCCAAAAAACTGAAATTTCACACGCTCCCGCCTGCGGGTGTTCTTTCCTCAACAACCAACCAACAAGAAAAAAAGAGCACGTAATGTGGTCGATGCTGCTGCTGCTGCTGCTGCTGCACTTGTTCCCACAAATTCCGAGGCATAGGCAATTTCCATGAATGCCAAACAAGCAGAAATTTCACACTCGCAAGTGGAACAGCAACAAAAAACAATACAGATACGAATGGCAGGGGACTGAGAAGCCTCCACCAGAGACACACAAGCCAGACTTGATCTCAATTCTGAGTCTGAGTCCGATTCCGATTCCGATGCCAGCAAAGGGAAGGGTAAAGCCGTAGCCGTCCAGGCATCAGCATAATCAACAAGATCACGCATCAAACGAGACGACAGCCGCATAAGAATGCAAACATTAAGAGATTTTATGCGAGTCTGTTCACATGCCACAAAACAAAAAAAAAGGAGAAGCGAAACAAAGCGGATCCCGGTTTGAGTTCTGAACAAAACCGAACAGGTACACAGGACGATTATCCTGTCATTCACTTGTTGCTCGCACAGCCCAAAAACTGGAAGCAAAACGCGACTGGACGCTGGAACAGGTAGAAAGGAGAAGCTGTTAGTTACGCTTCCTGCCGATGAGGTGCTCTGGTCCTGGCTGGCGTGAGAACCTGTTTCGGGCCGCCACTCCCGCTCCAGCAAATGCCAACTTTGTGTTTCGGCTGGCGATGCTAATCTCTCTGGCTCAGATTTGTGCAAATTTGAGTGTTTTCAATAGACCACAACTGGGTCGAGTCGGTTTGGGCACCGTGGAGCGGGCATTTCGTGTTTCTCGACAATTTATTACAGTCGCTCCAGAGCCACTAAACACTTTTTTATTGTCATATTTATATTTGTGCGATTAGTTTTTCGTTTGGCTTTGCTCTACGAGTCTCTTTTCGCCCGCAAACATTTTCGAAGTCGCACGCAAAAAATAAATTCCCACGCATTTTCAGTTCGTGATATTTTTCGGCGCTTTTATTTATTCACTTCTTCAAGCGCATAACGACGTTTTATTGTTCTTTTCGTTTTTGATTTAAATTGAAGTTTTGAAATATTTAAAAATATTTGTTAGCCCCTTTTACTTTCTCTAGCAATAATTTGGCAAAAAAAAAACACTCATTTCCTATACAACTCAAAGCGCGGTGCACTAGTGACAGATACAACAATTGTCCGTGCCACCATGATCTCTCCCCATCTGTGCCCCCCCTGCACGCCGCCTAAATGACATGCAAAACAGTTGACATTACATTTAAGCAGAAATTGCTTAAATTGTTGGCCATAAATCAACGGCGGACACCGAGGAGGAGATCAAGATCCAAAAAAGAAACCAAAATCTTTGCTTTGCTCGATTTCACTGCCAAACACACACAAAGCAAACTTCACCTGTTCGACGTGCAGACAATGCTCCAACCAGGTGACAGGCATGTCCAGCAACAGCAACAGCATCGGGCATCGGGCATCGGTCTCCATGTCTCCATGTCTCCAGGAGGGGGGCACACTGCTGACAAGTACCGAGAGAGGCAAGCGACTCAATTGCGGCACTTGTCGCATGACACTTCAGCAGCAGCAGGCAGCAGGCAGCAGGCAGCGGAGACACGGAGAAAGGAGAGATGAGAAAACACACACAGAAAATAATCAAAAATCCGAACCGAGTGAGTGTGTCACTTTCGGGGGAGTCGCAAGACCATGACATGGCACAAAAAGAAACATAACATTTTGATTTTCTTGTACAGCTTTTGGCTCTCTTTCGTCCGTCGTCCGTTGTCTGTTCACATTCAGACGTGCAGACACAATAAGCACTAAACGACATGGAGCAGACCTGTCCAGGCTCCTCTCATTCGCATTATGAGTTAGCAGTTTAACAACGAGCTCATCTCCTTCTGCCTGTCTGGAGTGCAGATTTAATCGCGCATGCAAAGCATCTCCTTAATTGTGTGCCATCCATATTTTCACTAATTAAAAGCGGCCCCAGAAATGAAATTTCATCTCAGTTTGCTTAACAAATGCGCTGACATGAGCTGCCATCAGGAAAAAGGCAAGACTTAAGCACCGAACTTAATCGAACGCACACTTGACC